AAAACAAACAAAAAAAAAACAAACAAAAAAAAAACAAACAAAAAAACTCGAGGCTACCTTGCAAACTTCCCAAAGATTCCCGGGGTAGGAAACCAAATTCGGTCTTCTTTCGTTGCTTGAAGTGGTTTTGTTGAGCTGTTAAAAAGCTAGAAAAAAGTTTATTAGTTGTGCTTTGAGGAGTCATCGGTATTTTACGTGATTATTGTACGAAGTTGCATTTGGGAAAGATGATCAGACAAAATTATACAAAATTGCGAACCGAAAAGTTTCCTTATTCGTCACACCTTCCTTTCTTCTCCAAAGATAAGAAAAGGACTTCTTAACAATGTAGGTTCGTTTTTGTGGCCTTCAGGAAGGGCAACAGAGTAAGAAAAAAAAAAGATTTCGATTTTGAACTCCCGTTCGCCCCAAGCAGATTTCTTGATAATCATTTGGTTTATGAATCTGTATTAGGTTCAGAAAAGGAGAGGAGTGTGGTGGAATTTGAGAACAGGTTCAGCACTACGGCTAACCTCGAAATATACGAGCCTGCCGTGAAAGACGTCACAAAAAGGCTTGAAATAGCGGACGAGGTGAAAATTGGAGAAGACTTCAAGGCTACTGCTTTTGCTAAGAACGAATCTAACGAGGGGAGAACAGTTACAGGGCATCTTACTGCAATTTTAGTGTTTTACACTGGGAAAGCTGCTCGAACACTAAAGGAGGCTAAGAGCACTGTTGTTCTTGAACCAGGGGAAGGTAATTTAGTGATCAGTGATTTTTTTCAAGTAATTTTTTCAATTTTAACTCAAGTTTTCAAGTAAAAATGAAGGACTTGAACGCTCCTGCCATAACCTGAAAATGATGCAAGTAGCCCTGAAAGGTCGTCTCAATATTGTTTTGAATAAGGCATGTTCATTTAATTATCACAATACTTTTTACTAGAGAAAAAAGTGTGACATTGGAAATTTCAACCACTGAATTGATGGCCAAGTCAGTTCCAGAGGCCAGCATCAAAGTGTTCCTGAAAGGATCCGTGCAAGAAACAGATCAGCGCTTTGCCATTCAGGACGTGGTGGAATTCATGAAACCTGAGCTAAAATTAACTGTTAAATGGGCTTTCCAATAGATTTGTTTTATCCATCGCAGTATAAAACCCGTTTGGAATTGTCCATTTATTGTACAAAAATGAGTGAAATATCAAAAGTTCTCCATGGAATTTTTGTCCACGCAATAACTTATATGAATTAATCCGAAAAGACACTAAACAGTAGGCAGAACGCTGTACAACTTCGTATTTCCCGTGGCTAGAAGGAAATCATCGATCCAAAAAGTGGAAACTTAAGTCCTCTGCCGTTAGGAATCACGACTTACTATAAAAGCACCAGGATTGTTGATAAACGTTTGTCATGGACATCTAAAACAAAGTGAACAAGATGATAATTTTCTTAGGATTTCTCAGTGTCCAATACAATTTACCCTCCAGCTCTTTTTCGAGCCATTAGAGCATTAGCTGCGAAGGGCCTGTCACTCAAAAGCCCGAGGGGCGAGTGCGATGCTCAGTTAAATACATTTAACCGGCTCAGCATAAGCTGTCTGATAGATGCTATTGTAAGAGTCTGCGAAGATCATTTGCAGAGCTGTATTGCCTTACAATTTTTTTGCCTTTTACAGGTTTCTTCGGACTCTCCGAAGTTGAATGAAGAAGTGACTGTGACGATATCAATACACAACTTTTATCCGATTGACCTGACGAATGGAAAGTTTCACTTTGAAAGCCGTTTGAAACCAAAGACTCTAATAACTGATTGCAAGTAAGATATCATTTCAATAAATAATGGAAAATGTTATATTTCCTACACACAATGCACTCCATACCTACATTGGTGGTGACATGGCCTTTTCATTCTAAAAATAGTGAAAAAGAAAGAAAAAGAAACACATGTGTGTGTACTCAGGCGCTCGTACTGGCGAGACTCAGGCATGTTCTTCTTGCATACAATTCTTAAGCTTATTTGACACTTGTAAATTCATACGCATATGAAAAGCCACGTGAAAAGCATGTGATATCCCTTTCACACAGTCTTTAACATTCCCTTCAATCAGTTCTTTAGGCCGCATACCTGTGAAAAACCTTGCAGTCATGCAAGCACTTGAGAGCGTCAACGTCGATTTTTCATTGAAACGACCCAGAATTTTAAGTTCTACTTTGTTTGTTTAATATTTTAGCGGAACTGTGCGTGCCAGCAAAACAAAAGAAGAAACTGCGACCTTCCAAGCGGAACATTGGCAGAAATATTGGACAAGATGGCGGCCGCGCTTGCGTATTTCGTCCATAATGGCGTCCAAATAATATAAGAAACTGTATGGAAATTTGTACAATTTCTAAAATATAACAATCAGGAGCTCGTGG